ATACCAGGTCTGTTCACTCTCGATTTGTAACGTTTGTTTCTCTTGCCTTTCACGAGAAATGGCGATATTTTATTTCCAGAAGGCTACTGAGTATGAAATCTCTTTTTGTTTCGGATGTCTGAGATTTGTCTCTTATGTTCGTTGTTAACATAATAGACGTTATTAAGTATGTTCTTTGGGATCTATCATCAGAGCTCACTTCATTCAGCTCGAGGCTTAGAACACGTAGTTCTCTGAACTTTTTCGTACAGTTCAATTCTAATAGGACTGTATTTAACGTAAGATAGAGAGATTTTAATGGAACGTTTCTGTGATACCTTTTTTCATGGTTGACAAATTTATTGAGTTTTGTGCAAGGCATTATCAAAGTTAACATCGAAATAGTTAATCAACTTGCTCTTGTATACAAGTTTCTAAAACTTTATTTACAGTAGTCGTGTAAATATGAAGAAATGTTAACTCGAGATTTATTGTTACATCGAGCATGGGCAATTATTTTGTTTTAATATTTTATAGTGCACATAACAAAAACAAAAGAAACGTACATAAAGTGAGACCTTCAATATGTATACATAGATTTGGGACGTCATGCAGGGAAAAGTCACGTGATACGCACAAAATATTCAGATATAAAAATTCCTGCAGCGTCAAATTCAATTCTTTTTCAGAGGCTTTTTAAAAAAGAAATCATTTATAGTTAATTTACATCGTCCACAAAAATAAACATATTTTATTCGCCATTTGCAATGGTTTTGTTTAGACGACATTTGTTAAAAGAAAAAGATATCTTCGCTCTTATTCGCATTTCTTATTTCCATTTCTTATCCTGTTGGGATTATTGTCAGTTCTGGGGTTTATCACTTCTATTTTTGTAAAATAATTTAATTCATCTTAATTCCAGTTGGCCAGAATAATATCCCGGGCAGCTGGCATAAGAAAAAAAAATGAAAATAAGCAGAATGTTTTAACAATGTGTAATCTAATAATAAAATTCAAGAAAATATGAGTGCGAGTAAATCACGCCAATGTAAAGAAAATATCGAGTGAATGGAACAAATAAAGATGATTACGATAGGACGTGGTCTGATCTACGAATCTTGGTTTGTACAGCTCAAATGGTTAAATAGGTGTGGTACTAAGATGAGTTTTCCGAGGATAAAAAAAGATGCGATTTTGGTCTTCATCGAATGCTTATATTTTATTGGTCGTAAAATGACAGACTAGATTGTTGTAATACAAATGTCAACTGAAGTTCAAGTAAAAAAATTATAAAAACGGAAAATGTAAAATGGATTTTGAAATACGAGAATAATAAGAGGTATAAAGAGTTGAATTTACGAAAGAAAGAAAACATGAAAGAAAGAAAGACTAAAGTATGAAAGAAAGAAGAAAAAAGGAAGAAAGAAAATACAAAAGAAAGAAAGCATGAAAAAAAGAAAGAAAGAAAGAAAGAAAAAAAGAATGGGAGCAGGAAATTACGAATCTAAGAAATTACGGATGAAATTTGTCATGGAAACACTCCAACTAGTGCACAGTATCGCCTCGTCAGTGATGTTATGACTTGGGGTCATGACAAGTTTCGGGTCTTGCAACATCATACTTGTCCGCCAAAGAGACCCTACCGAAACAGTACTATTCCGGCAAACGATCCTGAAGCAAAAAAAAAAATAAATAAATAAAAATACGCCAAGCACGCAACAGATGAACTCATTAAATAACTGCCACTGCTGATGTTGAAATTTACAAGCGACCAATCATTAACGACTTACGTCACTTCCTCCTCAGCCAAGACGATACTAAAAAGCATGTTCGTCTTTTTTTTTTCATCTTACGTCCACCACATAGAAAGATCCACATTCTCAACGAACCGTTTGACATAACAGGTAAGTAATGGCAAGAACAGTTTCCTTTCGTATGAAGCGTTACTTTAAACAAACAAACAAAAAAATCGAACTCAATCGTTGGCCATGGGAATTATGATCAGAAATGTTTCTTGCTTTTTTTTCCCATCACCACCATTTCTTTTTTCTATTCCTTTCCTTTTACAATCCTCCTCTCTCCCCTCCCGACTAGGAAAGCAAAAAAACAAAAAACAAAAAAAAAAACCCCAAAAAAAACAGTTAGGAACACTAAGACGGCGTTGTTGAAAAAGGTGAAGAAAAAAAAAAAGAATGAAAGAAAAAATGTACGAAAGAAAGAAAGTTCGAAAGTATCAAAGAAAGAATAAAAGAAAGTACGAATATAGTATGAAAGAAAGAAGAAAAAAAGGAAGAAAGAAAATACAAAAGAAAGAAAGCATGAAATAAAGAAAGAAAGAAAGAAAGAATGGAAGAAGGAAAGTACGAATTTCAGAAATTACGAATGGAACAAAGTACGAAAATATCAAAGGAAGAATAAAAGTACGAATGAAATATGAAAGGAAGAAGAAAAACGGAAGAATGAAAATAGCAAAGAAAGAAAGCACGAAAGAATATATAAAATATGAAATTGAATTTAATTC